AAAGAAGTATATTTTTGAGATAATAAAAAAGGAGCAATGATATAAGGGCAACCATTTTATTTAATTTTTTATATAATTTTTACATGTTATTAAATAAATAAATCTACTCAATATTATAAATTTTAAATAAATAAATAATTAATTATTTAAATAATATATAAAATATATAAAAATAATAATACAAAAATTTATTCTTAAATCGTTTTTTATAAGAAATAAAAAAACCTACTATTATGATATAATATAATACAACACAACATTAATAAATGGAACCAAAATACTTGAGATACCATAGAATCGTGGCATTTGCGATGAACAATTTGAGCCCCTCTACTTCTATTGTTGTGGCATATCAGCCCCCCTACTTAAAATAGTGCAAATCAGCCCCTCTACTTGAAAAAACCTGCGAATCAACCCTTCTGCCGATGATGACATCATCAAACATCATCTTTCCGTCTACATCCTTGTTACTCCGTTACCAAGAAATGGCTTGATGCTGATATGGCATTGGGTGGGTGATGCAACCAATTTGACCTACAAAATTATTAAGGAGTCTTTGTCTTCTTACTTTTCTTCATCCATCTTTTGTCTTCTCCTTTACATTCTCTCTCTTCCTACTACAGATCCACTTTTATTCCCAAAAGTTCAACTGAATTTTTCTTTAGATAAATTTAAATTAAAAAAATTAAAAAAACCCCCAAAATATGAAAGTATAAAAATTAAGAAAAAATTTGAAATCAAAATCAAAATTTATGGTTTTACCAATACCAAATAATCTACTCATTGAGTTTTCATCTCTAATAACCTAAAATTCAAATGACTTTATTTTTAAAAAAAGTACATGTAATTTTTATTTCTTTTAGAAAATACCTCACAAATAGATTCATATATATATATATATAATAAAAGCATAAACTAAAAAATAAATATTTTTCAAATTCTTTATTTTTTCTTCTTTTTTTTTTTAAGTTTGTTTTTTATTTAAAAACTATGAATTCATTTTTGAGATATTTTTCTAAAAGAAATAAATATAACATGTACTTTTATATAAAATAAAATCAAATAAATTTTAAGTTATTGGAGATGGAGATTCAATGAGTAAATCACTTGATGTTGGCAAAATCATAAGTTTTAATTTTAATTTCAAACTTTTTTTAATTTGTATATTTTCATATTTTAAGGATTTTTAAAAATAATTTTTTGAGTTTAAGCTTATATAAAGAAAAATTCAGCTTGAACTTTTGAAAAAAAACCAAAAAGAAGATATACAGTAGGAAGAGAGAGAATGCAAAAGAGGAGAGAGAAGATGAATGGAAGCAAAGGAAGTAGACAAGGACTTTTTAGTAATTTAGTAATTTAAATTGGCCACATCACTCCCCCCAATGCCATGTCAGCACCAAGCCATTCCTTGGTAACGGAGTAACAAGGACGTAGATGGAAAGATGACATTTGATGATGTTATTGTCAACAGAAGGGCTGATTCGCAGGATTTGTCAAGTGGAGGGGCTGATTTGCACTACTTTTAAGTA